GCCTCCCAGGTTCAAGCGATTCTCCTGCCTCAGCCTCCCAAGTAGCTGGGATTATAGGTGTCTGCCACTATGTCCAGCTGATTTTTTGTCTTTTTAGTAGAGATGGGGTTTCGCCATATTGGCCAGGCTGGTCTTCAACTCCTGACCTCAGGTGATCCACCCGCCTCGGGCTCCCAAAGTGCTGGGATTACAGGCATGAGCCATCGCACCCGGCCCTGCTTTTACTTTTAACCTTTTTAAAAATAACTTCCTGCTCAGGCATACCCTGTTGTTTTATAGTATCTCCCAGCTTCTGTCAGGTATTACCTAAAATCTGCCAGGCAGCTAGTCCATACAGCTGCATCCATGTCAGAGCCTGAGAGGGTCCTCTTTTTCACTCCACCTGATAACTTTTAGGATTTTTGAAGCTTTGGAAAAGATACAACTCTGATGTTGAACAGGAGAGGGGCCTGGCCCTCTTCCAAAAGATACTGGCCCCAGTTGCACTGCCCCTGTATGCAGCATTGGCATCAGATGGTGTTCAGCCTCCTGTCTTTTGGCATTGTGGGCAGAATGGCCAGAGATCCACAATGGCGGGTAGCAGGTTATAGATTTAAAACAGCACTCCTTCAGGATGTATTTCATAGGGTTTTGTGACCAACTGAGTTTGAGAAACTGGAAATTATATGTGAAACAATGTTTCTTTAAGGAAGTGCCCCCCCCCCTTTTTTTTTTTTTAAAGAGGCAAGGTCTTACTTTGTTGCTCATGCTGGAGTGCAGTGGCATGATCAGTTTATTGCATCTTCGATCTTCCAGGCTCAAGTGATCCTCCTGCCTCAGCCTACCAAGTAGCTGGGACTGTAGTCATGCATCACCACACCTGGTTAATTTTTTTTTTTTTTTTTTTTCCTGGTAGCGATGAGGTCTCACTGTGTTGTCTAGTCAGGTGTCAAACTCCTGAGCTCAAATGATTCTCCCTCCTCGACCTTCCAAAGTGCTGACATTAAAGGCATGAGCCACTGTGCCCAGTCAATGGCACTGTTTTTAATATGTTTATTATGGTGAATCTCAAAGAGAAGAAGTCTTAAACAATAATAGCTAGAATTTATTGAGTGCTTATTCTTTGTTGGATCTAGGATCCCTGGTGATGTCTGTGAAGTATCTCATTTAAACCATGTAACAATCCAATGAAGTGAATGCCATCACTGTCCCCATTTTAGAGACTTGAGAGGCACTTGCCCAGTATCACAGCTAATTTGGGCTCAGTGTTTTATGCTTGAGCAGGACGAGTCCAGACCTCTTTTTTTTTTTTTTTTTTTTAAAGCAGGGCCCCAATGATTAGATTCCACAGACTGTATATTAACCCATATATAGTACTCTCCTTTACCCAAGCCTTCTGTTACTTGGGACTTCCTGTGGAATAGATCAGTATGCAGGACAGTAGTTGGAGCGTTGCCAGTTTTAACTTGGAATGTGAGCAGACTTGGACTGCTAGATAAAGAAGGCAGATAGAGTTTCTCATTGAACCCTGTTTGGTTCTGAGACCTGTAGATCCCGTGAGTCCCCAGGCATCTTGGTATGTGTCACGTTAAGTTGGTGTTACTGCGTACTCAGTGGGAGAGGCAGGCCTGAAGGGTCTGGAGTATAGCATCTAGACCAGTGGTTCTCAAATTTGGCTCTGTACTGGAATTCACTGAAGAAGCTTTAAAAATTACTGATGTTTGGCTTCATTCTCAGAGACTCCAGTTTAATCTAGATTGTGCCCAGGCCTTTGTGGTGTTTGAATGCTCCGTGGTTATTCTGATGTAGCCTGGGTTGAGAATTATTGGTTTGGACACACTCCTTTGTGGCCCACTTACCATGTCTTATCCCAAAGCAAGGGGAAGAAAAGGGTTTGCTTTGTGAGTGAAATGATTTAACATTGTTTAGAGTTTGCTTTTTTTTTTTCATGAATGAGTGACGAATGTTCTTTTTCACCAGCCATGTATGGCCTTGTAGATCTTCTCTGTGATCTATACCCCAATCCTAACTTTGCACTGACAGACACATACTGAGCAGCCCTTATGTAGTAGCTTTGGATTGGTTAGTAAGGGGACTGGTGACAAAGAGACTCTACACTGTTACTCCCGCTGGAAGAAGGAAGTGGGTACCAATGCTCAGACTACTGTATCTACACTGTCCTGGGAGAGCTGGGACAAGAAGTGCACTCTGGGTTATGACATGAGCTAACTGCACACAGATTTCTTATCGGGCTCCAAAGAGTATCAGTCATTTTCAGTTGAGTTAGGTAAAATTGGGTAATGTAACTGTTTCTTGGTTTGGTAGCTGAGTAACTTAAGCTGTTCTTACTAATGTGTCTGCAAAAAGCCTTTTTTTTTTTTAGGTATTTGGGAAAATATATGTCCTTGTCAGTAAAAGGCAATGTTTGTCTCAATCCTGCGCTATAATGGCTTTTCTAAATATACTTATCATTTCAAAAGCATTGACCCTAGGCTGGAAGGCCTAATTATAGAATTTTGGTACTACTGCTCTTTATCCAGTTCAAGATGGATGAGTCCCAGGTTGATCAAAGGGTTTGTAATGGGAATGTTTCTGTTGGTTTCTTACAGTACAACAAACACCTCTTCGTGCACATTGGGCATGCCAACCATTCTTACAGTGACCCATTGCTTGAATCAGTGGACATTCGTCAGATTTATGACAAATTTCCTGAAAAGAAAGGTGGCTTAAAGGAACTATTTGGAAAGGGCCCTCAAAATGCCTTCTTCCTCGTAAAATTCTGGGTGAGTAAGACATTGCTGTGATTTCTGTGGTTTGTGTCTGAATGGTCACATTTCTAGGTGAGCACAGTGCAGCACAGCTGGCTGTGGATTTACACTGGGTGCACCTTCACGCGCTTCTGCAGAATTGCCAAGGGAGCACAGACTCACACCTGTGGGCTGTCCTCATGCCAGCCTTATGCATCCACATGGTGTATCCGGGTGACATTCTCTGTCCCTGCCAAAGGGCAAGAGGGACAGGCAGCTTCTTTGGGCTTCACTCATTTACAGATGGCTGGAGTCGTCATGGAAAACTGGGGCGCTGTACCCTCTTTCTGTTTCTTCTCCATGCATCAAAGCAACTTATAAATTCTATTGGAGTACAGGACCTAGAGCTGGGAAGATAAAGTTACATGGTTCAAGATTTTGTAAGCATCAGAGAGGATACAGAATGGCTTTGCCCAGTATATACTTCATTTGTGCTTTAAAATGATGGGCAAATTCTTCTGACTGCTGCAGCTTTGCTTATGTTCCAGACAGAGCCTTTGAGAGGAGCTTTGCCGCTCCTTCTGTGCTAGTCAGGCTTGGGCCAGGGGAATGCTAATGGGTCAGAATAGGCATAAGTATAATGTGTGTGTGCTGAGGGATTCGAGGATCACCAGGAGACCAGATAACCTGGTAGTACTGTGAGTTTATGATTCCTCAGCCTTTACACAATTTTTAAAAAACTTTTAAATGTTTGTGCTCCTTAGCATGGCATTAAAGGCCCTAAGCAACCTGGTTCCAAGGTAGCTTCCTCTTGTGTCCGCCAAACCCCTGTTGCTCCACCTGCCTAGTCTGTGCCCCACCTTCTGTTTGTCTAGATGGACTTTCTGCTCCTTTCTCCCTGTAGTACTGGGCCAGCTCCTTCTGTTCCATGACACAATGGCTCCTCTATCATAGAACCTTCCCCATTTAAGTAGGCCATTGATTTCTTATTGCATTTGTTAATCACTTCCCATGCTGTGTCATGATTATTTGAAGGTGTCCCCCTCCTCTGGACTCTTGACCACTTCATGGGCCCTTATTCATATAGTGGCTTCCATTTATTGCATGCTTGCTCTGTGCTAGGAGCTGTGCTAAATGCTTTATGTACATTTCATCTCATCCTCCAAGTTTTAGATAGAATTTGCTTCAGCTCCAACTAGGAAAAAATGGCTCATAGACAGGTTTGTTGGGTGGGTACCTGGGCCTTGACATCAGATCTTTGTGACTTTAATACCTCTGTTCTGTTTCCTCATTGCTTAATAATCCCTTGTGGACCCTGGCCACAGGATCTGTCAACCTAAGCCTCTTTGTATCTGTATACCAAGCAAGAACCTTACACAAAAAAGCCCAACAGATGTGAGAACAAATGGATGAATTAAAGGAAAATTTATGTTTTAGATTCCTTGGAAGGAAATTTGCATATTAAATTAGTTTGTTTTGTTTCTTTTATCCTTCCATGATAACTAGATTTCATTTTTTTGTGCTTCCATATTCAAATTTGGATAGTAGGCCAGGCACAGTATTATGACACATGCCTGTAATCTGTAATCCCAGCACTTTGGGAGGCTGAGTGAGTCAGGGGGCTTTCTTGAACTCAGGAGTTTGAGACTAGCCTGGGCTATATAGTGAAACCCTGTCTACGAAAAATACAAAATTAGCCAGGTGTGGTGGTGCATACCTGTAGTCTGAGCTACTCAGGAGGCTGAGGCGGGAGGATAGCTTGAGCCCAGGAGGTCGAGGTTGCACTGAGCTGTGATTGTGTCCCTGCACTCCAGCCTGAGTGACAGAACAAGACCCTGTTCTAAAAAAACAGAAATGTGGATAGTAGATGTAGCCTTCTACTTACATTAATGGATGTTGGATCAGTAATACACATGGACAGTCCGAAAAAGCCATCACAGTCATTTTCCTTTTCTGAATTGGTGGTTGCCTTCTAGTAATGGATGGTGGTTGGGGATCAGTTATGTGGTAACAGAGTAGTTTTCAAAATGTTGCCTGTTAACCCCTAGGGAGTTCCTCAATATCATTTTAATGGGTTGACAAGATGAAAACTATTTTTGTCATAATACTGAGACATGATTTGCCTTTTGCATTCTGCTTACGTTCACACGGATGGTACAAAACCAGTGGGATAGTAAGTACTGCTTTAGTATGAATCAGAGCAGTGGCTGTGCTGCTAAAATTCATGCAGTTGTAAAAAAAAAAAAGTCCTTCATGAATTTTATTACAACCTAGAGTAATAGAGTACACTTTGAAAATGCATACATGAGTCTATCACATCAAGGAAGACAAATGACATTATTTGCTGCCAAAGATAAAATTTGGGCTTTCAAATGAAACTTAGAATATTAGGAACTTTGTGTCTACCTTAGTGAACTTAAGACTTTTCTGATGAGATCCATCTTGATATTGACAAACGTAATTTGATATTGTGTTAGAGCAATGGATTTTAATGTAGCAGAATTGGAAACATTCATTGATATGGTTTCAGATTCTGCATTCCGGCTTACCATTAAGAGACTCCTATTGCTTGTTGACTCTTGATAAAGTATCAAAGGAAAATGACCACTGTTATCTGAGGAGTGTCATATAGTATAAAGCAGCACTACCTGTTTCACTAATTTTTTAAAAATAGTTTAATTTTTTTTAAAGACGTTTAATTTTTTAAAAAGATGTATATCAACATGTAATGAGTTTCTTATTTCTTAAAATGAGGTAATATTTTAAAATTTTCTGTTTAAATTTCCAATACAGAAAATATAGATATAACCTACAGTAAGCAAAAGGGTCTTTAGGACCTCAGTAATTTTTTTGGTCCTGTTTGCAGTATCATGCGTGATCACCAAACTGCTGCGAAAATGCTCATGCCTGTTTCAGCAAATTCAAAACCCAGGAAAGATGTCTCCTGGGAATTTACTTTGGGTCAGGCTCAGGCTCTCTGGTACATCAGTAATTTATTTATGAGTGTAAAGGGGTCCTGTGATCCAAAAGTTTGAGAGCCACTACTTACTAGAGGCTTGATTTATTAGTATTCATGTTAGTGTTATCATACTAAAATATATTAAATATTTAGTTAGATATGTAATAATGTAAAAATAAGGATGTAAAAAGAGGTTGTTTGTCCAAGTGAATGAAAAGCTAATTAGAAATTGTAGAACCTTATGAAAAGAAACCATTTTCAGTAATTTCAAATTAAACAGTAGTGTTTTTAAATAAGATTTCTGATAATTAGCATGTTGTTTGAATATAAAGTAGCTTAGAGAGTGCTTAGAAAGTCTTTTTTGGTTTTGCCTCCAAAATTGCCCTAATCTTTCCCAGTGGATGATTTCAGTAAATGTTTTCTGTGGTGGGGCCCTTCAGTCATCAATCCTCAAATAATGAAGTCTAGAATGCGGATATTTAGAGTATGGTAGCTGATGTGAGATGTGCAAATTTAGAAACAATTACTATGAGATCAGATATTTGTTTATTAAAATTTGCAGAATTAAAATAGAGAACTTCCATGAATATGATAGAAAACATGACTCCTTCAGTAGAGTTGTTAGGAATACTTAACCTTTATAAGGAAATTCAGTCATAACTATGTTAAAATAAAGGAGGGAAGGCAATTTAAATTTGGTTTGCAGTTTGAGATGTTATTGGCTTCCTCTAATGACTCAGTAAGAATGAATTACATTTAGAATATCTATCCTTGGGTATCAGTAGGTGCTTCCAGTGGGTGTTTCTGAAGCATGTTTAACACTCCCTTCAAAATACCTTTTAGCAATATGCTTAGCAGATGTTCTTATTTTTGTTGCAACAGAGACTCTGTACCCAGTCCTTTTCTTCTTTTTCCTCTTTCTCAAATGGCCTAAAGTCTCTAGGCTATCAAAATCAGCCTGACTCTTACTTGTTCATTTGATTGTTCCTGAATTCAGTTTTCAGAATGACTGCTACGTCCACCCTGGGCTTGGTCAGGCTAGACCATGTGAGGGGTTTGCTGTGGAAAAATACTACGTGTTACCTAAATTACCTGCACTTAAGCCCCAGATTCGGGCATCTCAGCTCTCCCACTTGACACTTTGAGGCGAATGGGATGGCAGTGAGCCAAGTAGCAGTCACTTCACTGGTTTTAGGGTGGAAGACTCTGCTGGCATCCCAGGCCCCAAAGCATAAGTGAATAACAGAGTCAAGGATGCCAGCATGGGTACCCCTCTACCATATAAGCTGTGTAGTGTTTCATGCCTTCATGGTGTAGGACCCTTAAAAGCCCCTCTGAATGGCTGTTTTATCTGTTAAGGTTTTTTTCAAGAGCCTTATTGAGGTATAATTTATATACTATAAAAATCACTAATGTTAAATGTACAGTTTAATGATTTTAATAAAAATTTACAGACTTGCGTAATCATACTAAAATCCAGTGTTGGAATTTGTCACCCCGCAAGGATCTCCTGTGCCTATTTGTAGTCAGTTCTTATTCTTACCCTCAGCCGCAGGCAACCACTGATCTACTTTCTTTCTGGATCAGTTTGCCTCTTATAGACATTTCATGTGAATGAAATCATTCAGTATGTTGTCTTTTGCAGCTGGCTTCTTTTACTTGTGTTGTATTTGAGGTGCATCCTTTTTATTGCACAATTAGTGTCCCGTTGGAGGTATATACCACATTTTGCTTCATTCATTCACTGGATGATAGGTGTGTAGATGGTTTCCACTTCAGGCTATTATGAATTATGTTGCTGTGGAGTCTTTGTAGACAAGTCTGTGTGGACATAACTGTTTCATCTTTCCTGGGGACCTACCTAGGATTGGAATTGCTGGGTACTGTGGTAACTGTGTCTATGAAGATGCTGCCAAACCTCTTTTTTATGTGGTTGTACCATTTTACGCTCTCACCGGTAAGATCTTAGGGGTTTCTCTCCTCCTTCCACCATTATGTCTGCAAGTATTGGGTAGTAGAGATTCCAGGGGACATCTCAGATGAGGGGGCTGTTAATCAAAGGCACTGAGACAGGATGTGTGTAATGTATATTTCAGGTACATTGAGGTGTGTTGCTGCTCAGTCTTCACTGGTAACGGAAAGATGGGTGGGTGGAAAAATTTGGAAAGAGAAGGAATCAGGATTTAGTTGTGACAGCAGTAAGGAGCAGTCAGTGTTTTAACAATTTTTCAGTCGAGAGAATAATGGGATTCTTTTTACTGAGTGTTCTCTTTCTGTATTTTGCCTTTTCTGGTTTTATTATCTTTCCCTTTTCATGACAGCTTCTTATTAATTTCCTTTCTGTTTCTTTTGCCTTCTTTTTATTTACTCCTATGTGTTTTAATTCTATAACATATTTAATTACAAAGAGAGAAAAGGTGATTTCGCAGGAATAGAATGGAAGGGAAGGGAAGAGGTCCCTCTCTTTTTCAGCAGTACTTGAACCTGACGACTGACTGGTACCATCTTTAAGCCAGGCACTGTGCCAGGGCTAAGCACATACTTGATGTTACCTAATCCTTGGGAGATATGTGTGATGATTCCCACTTTACACGTGAAGAAACCAAATCATACAAAGGTAAAATAACTTCTGTGAAGTCACATTGCTAGTAAATGCCAGATCTGCTAGACTCCAGAATCCATGCTCTTTCTGTAAACCTGCACATGCCTCTTCAGGGAGCACAGTTCTGTCCTTAGGAACTATGCTAACACAGCTTCACTTAAATGGAAGTCAGTGGTGATTGCTGAAGGATAGCAGCCTTGGTAGTTTCTCTCTGAAGTCCTGTCATTATGGTATGCTCTGGTGTATGTTGACATGGGAGCTAAGATACATTTTCATATACATTTTATTTTCTGTATATTATTAGGTTCTGTTTGGTTTTTTTTTAAAAGCCATTCTGGCTGGGAAAAGACTGCCCCTTCTGGGTCTAGCCAATTCTAAGAGTAGGAAAAAGATTCTGTGTAGCAGGATAGTCCAGAAGCTTGCTTTTCATAAGCAAATTAATCCAGAGCCAAATCTCCTCTGTCTGGTCCAGGCACCTCTGGGTGCAATGTTCCTCTGCCCTAAATCATTCCAGGGCCAGGTACCAGACAACTAGGAACCACCTGTGTAGCTTAGAGCCAGCTGGAGTTATTCAAACTAGTCAGTCATCAGTTGTTCACTGTTTCCCCTGCCCTGCCCTGTCTTGCCCTGCCCATGGAAACCCCAGGAAAGGCTCTGGCCTAAGCTCACCCCTTGGCTTCTGTCTCCTGACCACCCCAGTGTCTTTCCACGTGGCCCTTTGTGGCCTGCCTGCTGTTCCTGTCTTGGGGACCTTTGAGTGTAATAAATTTTTTTCCTGAACTTCTCCTGTATCCCATGGCGGCAACTGACTGACCATGCCATAAAAGAATACAAAACGTAAGGTGAATAAACTACCATTACCAGGAAATTCAGGTTGGAGTCTAAGTCTTACTAAACAAGTCAGTGAAATTCTGCAACTACCTTTAGAAGGAAAAAGCATCATTTTTATATTATGATTATAAAGGTATAACATTTTAGACAGTTGGGAATATATAATTTTTAATTCAATCCTAAATGCATCATGAATATATAACTATTGTGTTACATGTTTATGTAGTTTTGGTCAAGGAATACATGAAATCTGATACCTCACATTTATCCCTTATGAAACATGTAGCCATATGTCATTATACTTCAAATTCTCTCTTTTTCTTTTTTTTTTTTGAGATAGTTTTGCTCTGCTGCCCAGCCTAAAGTGCAGTGGTATGATTTACACACATGGTTATGTGAGTAAATAACCATGTTGCTTTCTAAAACAGTTGTAGCAATTACTCTCTCAGGCCATGCATGAATAGACCAGGCATCTTCACCAGCCTTGCCTGGTGAAATTTAAAACAAAACAAAAAACAACCTTCTATTGTCACTTGTTTTTTGAGTTCGTCTACATCTGCAGTTATTTTTTTCTTCTTACTCAAAAGTCTTTGATTCTTCTTCATTCTCTGTAGAAACAATTATTACTATTAAGATTGAAATACCATATTTCTTCAATTTTAAGTCATGGATTTGTTTGCATTTCAACAGTTTTAAAATTGGGATACTTCTATCATTTGATGTCCAGTGCACCTTGCCACATAAAAAGGAAAGAGATAGGACATGGATGGAGCTGGAAGCCATCATCCTTAGCAAACTAACACAGGAGCAGAAAACCAAACACCACATGTTCTCACTTATAAGTGGGAGTTGAACAATGAGAACACATTGACACAGAGAGGGGCATATACCAGGGCCTGTTGGGGTGTGGGGAGTGAGGGGAGGGAACTTAGAGGATGGGTCAGTGGGTGCAGCATACCACCATGGCACATGTATACCTATGTAACAAACCTGCATGTTCTCTATGTGTATCCCAGAACTTAAAGTAAAAAAAATGTTTTTAAAAAAGCATCTTGTCCACCCCTAAGCAGAGGAATAGGTTATTATTGGTTATTATCACCTGACCCTGCCCAGTGTAGAAGACATCTTGCCATTCCCTGGACACTGTAATTGAGTTATTTGCACTTTATAGTACCATAGCAGTTGAATTTTAGCTAAATTTGAATCCCGAATTAAAACGTCTCAGAAAAGTACACAGTGATGCGGCATTGAAATTGTTATTATGGTTCTAGAGGAGTTTTGGAGCCAGATTTGTTATAAATGAGGCAAGCACTTGTCACTAGCAGATAATCATACTTTTTTCCTTATAAAACATGATCAGGTGCTGTGTAGGCTCTTAAGAAAGAAGGATGTCCACCCACAAGTGGGTGAAGCTGTGCTTCATTGCAGCATTGAGATTCAGGCAGATGGATTGCCAGTGACGTGGCAGACAGTGCAATTAATGTAAGAAAATGTCAGCAGCCTTGGGAATTGATCGTAGATTGAATTCCCAGAGCTAGAAGATGCGAGTATAATTCAGTCATGCATCGTGAAGGACAAAAACCCAAGTGTAGCTCACGGCTGACTGTCAAAAGCAGTTAATTTCCAGCTATCTGAAGTTTACTTATGGAA